TGACCAAAGTAGAATACAGTGGCACTATTACTTCCCTTGATCTAGATATTACTATTATTGCAGCCTAAAATTGCATTGGCCTTTTTAGCTGCGGCATCACACTGTTGACTCTTGTTCAACTTGTCATCTACTAGGACTCCTAGATCCCTTTCACATTCTATATATTAATGCTGGAGTTTTTCTTAATGATGGCCACTGTTGCAAATGTCAGTTATGATATATTACCCAGAGGTTAACAATGATTTTCTGTAATTTGTCCTTTGTAGATTCCACATCTAGTCAATCTTATTTTATCAAGAAAGCACCCTAGATGCTTTCTGATGTTAATAGGCCCACTACTGTACTGATGTACTCTGTTTGATTACTAGGTCTGTGTCTAATGTATACTTGATGCTTGTCTAGGTTTTAAATTGTCAAATTTGAGGGTATAACTAGAAATTGAAGTTCTTTCTAGTATTGGTTTCAGTTCTTGATGTATTTTAGTTTAAAAACGGTTGTCTTTTCCTAGAAGAATAATAATTTGGTATATTATCACAAGTAATTCATGTAAAATATTAAACCTACTATATATCCTCATGTATAAGTCTAGAAATCTTAGGACCATAAAAACTTGAGCCAATTTATCCATGGGTCAATGTAAATACTGTATTTTAACTCGTAGTGTTGCCTGGTGAAAGGCAAGAGTGTAATCTGTCCTGGAAGCACTGACTCCCCTCTATTCTCTCATCCATCCAGCCTTTAGTGAGAGTACAAACAGTGATGCCTGCTGGGATTTTGTAAGTTTTTTGGCATTGTTTTCCTTTGCTTCATGCTTAGATCCTTTGTTACATGCCTCTAAGTTTTATCCTCGACTTATACATGGGTCTCTTCGACTTATACATGAAGTCAATTTATAGTCAAGTATATACGGTAATCTGATATTTTCAGTCTCTAAAAATACTGACATTATAAAGCTAAAATAAACTTTTGTTGCTTATATGCTTCATCTTTTCCTCTTCACCTTATCCCTTATTTTAAAAGTGTTATGAAATTTTCAATAACTTTCATTATGGCCTGGATTTAGGTATTTATTTATTGATTGAATTTATATTCTGCCTTTCCTCCAGAATGGGATTCATGGCAGCTGACAGTAATTAAAAAAAATTGAGCTTTGTTAAAAGTTAAAAAAATAAAACAACAATATTATCAAAAGAACATGATTAAAACAGTTGGATACTTAAAACATATTTAAAACATGAAAAGTAAGTCTGAACATAACTGATTCTGACTTATATTAATAATATATATGCTGGTTGCCTGATTAAAATCTTCAAGGATGAGGGAATCCTCTTCTAAAGTGATGATTGGCATCTGCACGTTTTGAAAGTGCTGTATGTATATATAGAGAATCAGTATGGTGTAGAGAGATTGACTCTGGGAAAGGAGGGCTTGAATCACCACTCAGTCATGGAGACTGCACAATTCTTACTTTCTCAGCCTTAGAGAAAGGCAATGACAAACCACCTCTGAATAAATCTTCCTAAGGAAACTGCTTGATAGGGTTGCAGTAAGTTGGAATTGACTTGAAGGCACACAATAATACATTATATCTATAGATTTTGCTGACTGATTGGAAACACCTCTTTTAGGTAATTGAAATAGTTAATTATTACATATTGTGGCCTTAGATTCTACAGATAGCGTGACTGGAGGAAGGCTAGATGAGGACATCTGATGCTCTCTGTGAAGGAACTTTTATGGTATCTTTTGTAGTCTGAAGAAACAGAAGTTGAGTGTTTTGACATGTAGAGAATAGTACTTGCTGCAAATGTATATGATCCAGGAATATAGGGAGCAATAATAAACAGCTATTTACACATTAGTTGACGTTGAATAAAGTAATATGGCAGTTACTCTACTTTAAAGAGGTTCTTAAATGGAGAAAGTGAGGTTAAAATAAACCAGCAATGACAGTGAAAAGTGACTGGTTTTGAAATAAGCTATTGAAATCTGTTAGGAAATTCTGGTAGAGTGAATTCTCTAGCTGGTGCTGGTCCTTAAGTTTCCCGAAAACAAAAACATCAGTTGTAGCTAATTGGCACAAATATGGAACCAGTCTCTGGTATCTTGGAGAAGAAAATGCTCTTTCCTCCACCTCAAATAGTCTGAGGTGCAGTGGTTTAGGGATGAGCAGCTAACAGTGTGACGCTATAGTAATTATTATATATACATGTGTGCACTGTGTGTAAAACCAATGGAGAATGCTGAGGAAAAATGCAAGTATTCCATGTGTTGTTTTTTTTAAAAAATCTGTTTTGAGGGACAGGTTAGTATAGTTAGTATAGCATGTCTCAACTGTCCTGGCGATTACTTAAATCAAGTTGACATAAATGGAGTCCACCTGTAAGTGGGTTATGGATAAAGAACATAGAACAATCTATTGACTATGTATTTGATTTCACATTCTGTTCCCCAGCTAGTCACTACTATGAGATTGTCTTCAAGCATATTTTGTGTGGGTTTTATTGACTGTAATTTATTAAGAACTGAATCAAATGCTAAGTAATTTGCCCAAGGAAAAACTAATTAGCAGTTAAACATGGTACCCAGGAATTATGTGTAAATATGCCTACTGACAGTAGAAACTATTTTAATCGGGGCATTTTGTTCTCAGTGCTGACTATCTGTTTGTTGCATTGAAGGTTTTACATGCTCAAATCTGTTTTGGGAATTTGCATATTTAGTAACATGGCACTCAAAGGGAATGTCTGTTTCTTGCGCAGCACTTTCTTTGCATAGATATGTAAGTGCTGGTTAAATACATATTTTAACATTACTTGAGAGATATTCTATCAGTGTCTTTAGTTTCTGAATTATGGCATACTGCTGCAAGTTTTTCTACAGTAAATCACTGGTTGTTTATAACTGTGCTAGGTATGGAAGCAAAGAATTAGAGCATAGGCTTAGCCCTGTTAAGTCAGACTAAAGGTTAGTTCAGTCTATCTTTCTTTCCCCGATAGTGGACAGCCAGTTCTTCTGAAAATCTCACAAGTAGGACATGAAAACAATAGTCCTCTGTAGCTGATCCTTGTGAGACCCAGCATAGTATAGTGGTTTGAGCATTGGACTACGACTGTAGAAACCAGGGTTCGATTCCCCACTTGGTCATGGAAACCGACTGAGTGAGCTTGGGGGAGTCACACACTCTCAGTCCCAGAAAACTGATGGGTTTACTTCAGGGTCATCATAAGTCACAAAAAAGTGGATCCCCAGTAACTCTGTAGCCATTGTGACTAGTATCTGTTATGGTAAAAAAATTCTTCCTTTTGCTGGTCCTCATCTCTTGCCAGTATGGTTCACTAAACGATCCTGAGTTCTAATATTATGAAGGAGGAAGAAGTACCGATGTTTCCCACAACATCCATAATCTTACAAACTTCTAACATATTTCCACTTTATGTCCCCCCAAACCCCAAATAATTTGAGAAATTGCAATTTCTCTTCATAAAGACTATAATCTAGGCCTGTTAAAAATACATAAATTATCTTTTCACTGACAGGAACACATGTCAAGGAAGTGGTTCTGAAATGATGGCTTACAGCATTTGGCTGTTGTAGTTGTGTGCTTTTAAGTCGTGGTGATCGTAAGGCAAGCCTGTTGTGAGTTTTCTTGGAACTGTTCCACAGAACTTTTATGCCAGAGAGCAAAAGCTATTTTTGCTGCACTTGTACATAGGGTGGCAATATCGGACCTGTCTCTTCCTTTGGGGGATGGGGAATGGGGATTCAAACACTCTGGAATATCCTAACCATAGGATTCAAACTCAAGCTATCTTTACTTTGGTACTCATAGGTAAAACTGAGTGCCTTCTCTTTATGAAACTGATTCTTTTTCCCCCCTTTGCTGACATGTGTTTATTAGTAAAAAAAAAAAAAATTCTTAATGTGTGGAGCAATGCTGCATTTGCCTTCATCTGTACTGAGTGTCCTCTAGGAATGTGGAATGTAAATGTTTTAGAATGCTGAAAAGCTGTGATGGGAAGGTGGAGAATAACAATTTTGAAATGGTGAAAAAGCTAAGGCAAAGTAGAATCCATGGCTTCTCAGGTCAGCAGTTTCCTAATACTAATAGCTGTATAATTATTTTATTTATTTATTATTTATAAGCCACTTTTCTCCCAAATTGATAGCTCACAAAAGATGCTTAAAAACAGCAACAGCATCAACACAGTCCAGTTTTAAAATACAATTAAAACCACCATATTAACAAATCAAAAATGTAAATCCTTAAAAATACTAAGTTAAAAATATAAAACCATTAAAAGCATACCAAAGCAAATACCCTAGTAAGAAACCTGGGCATCATTACAGCCTGTTTGAAAATAAACATTTTTGCTTGTTGGTGAAAGGAGAGAAGGGAGGGGGCCAGCTTAGCCTCCCACTGAAGGGTGTTCCAAAGGGTGGGAGAAGGCTCTCTCTTGTGTCTTCACCAAGTGAGCCTGGGATGGTGGTGGGACTGGTTGTCGTTGCTGTTGTTGTGTGACTTCAAGTCATTACAGCGATCCTAAGGCAACCCTGTCACTGGGTTTTCTTGGCAAGATTTAGTCAGAAGAGGTTTGCCATTGCCTTGCTCTGAGGCTATGACTTGCCCAAGGTCACCTGGTGGATTTCCATGTCTGAGCAGGGATTCATACCCTGGCTTCTTAGAGTCTTAGTCCAATAATCAAACCATTACGCCACACTGACTCTCTCTCTCACTAATTCCTCTCTCCTCCAGAAAATAAAATAAATAAAAATTGAGAAATAAAGCTCACTTTGTAGATTCAGTGTGAAGTCTTAAGTTTTCTTTGCTCAGAATAACATCCTTTGAATTGTATCTTTTAGTAGTTTTTTTGTGCAGCTGATCATGAGGTGTGGGTGATGCAATTGGCAAAGCTTTCCATTGTTCATGAGATAGCACTTCACAGTATATGGTTGTTCCTGGGAAGATTATTATAAATGGTATCCATTAATGACATGTTCTTAAGACTTTTCTATGAAATTGTGGGTGTTTTCAGTACAGTGGGCCCTTGGTATCCTCTGGGATTTGGTGCCAGGATCCCCTATGGGTGCCAAACTCATTGGATGCTCAAGTCCCATTAAATACAGTGGTTTAGTAAAATGGTGTCCCTTATGTAAAATGGCAAAATCAAGGTTTGCTTTTGGAATTTATATTTGTTTTGGAATACTTTCAAGCTGTGGATGGTTGAATCCATGAAAAAGAATCCACAGATACACAGGGCCACATGTATATATTTGAATTCGCTGGGGGAAGGGCATGGGGAAATGAGGACTACGATGTCCCTTATTTGGTTGATTTCTTTTCAAAAATCCTATTTCAATGTAAAGAAGCAACTATTTTGAGAGAATGCTTAACAACATAGAGTAAAAAAAATTACTATGAAGTTCACTTTATAACTTCTATGAGATTAGTTACGAGAATGCATTTGGAAGTGGGCGGGTCTTCTAAAACAAATTTCTAGGAAGTATTTTTTTTCTTCATATACATTTTATTTCTTCTGTAACATAAACCAGGTAATCAATTGCTTGTCTAATGCACCGAGTATGATGGGAAGATTGAATCTCTGTCTCTTTGGATATATACGCCCTGTTAAAATGGTTAGGTATGCTTAATTCTATATTACATACGTACATACATGGAAGTTGATTTCTGGCCACTTTCAAGTCAGTATGGGACATTTTGTGCCCTCTTTATCCCTCTCTGTCTTCCAAAGCCTTCATTCTAGTTTATGTAATCTCTTTCTCAGTATTTCTTCCGTATACTTGCCATGCTTTATTTCTGCAGATGCCAAAAAGCATCTTGCAGCATAGGCACTGATTTCTGCTTTTAGCTCACCTTTTACACCTGGTTGGTTGAAAATGTATTTCTACCTCAGTAGTATAAAAAAAAAATCTAACAGCGTCTGTGTTTTCTAATTCAAGGTCTTGTCAGTTCATCCATTAGATATCTAATCTGCTTAGCACAGCTAAATCAGTGCTAGAGTTGGGTATATAATAAGGACATTAGTCTGTTACATAAAAGAGAAACACACGTTTACTTTTTTATTGCACTTGAGAACTGATTTTGACTAGCATAGGTGATGTGCCTTTAAAAAAGAGTAGCTACATGGCATGGGCTAAGGACTAGAAAGTTGGCTGGGAGGAAGTTCTAGAGCAGAGGTTGGCAAGTTTTTCTTACCTGGGGCTGGTCTGCTGGCCTCCAGGTCTTCCGTGGGCTGAGGGGGGGAATGGCGGTGTGTGCGCTCATGCACACGCGCAGCCACCACCTCACCTCCTGCTGCGCTGCTGCATGCGTCACGGCCGCCATTTTGGAAAACAAAGAATTCAACTACTTACAAACTTTTCAGAGATATATATTGAGAATCTGGAGAAAGATATTAGCAAACCTATGCTTGTTCTGTGAGTAGAGTATGAACAAGAAAATTTAATCTTTAAATTTAATTTAAAGTTTGCTGTCAACTAGCAAATATATTAAAGAATCTATGCTGGTTTGTATAATCATTGTATTGCACATAAAAGAGAAAATTAATTGATTAGGTACCGCAAATTAACGTATGGGAGCAAGTACAATTAATTAGAAAATAAAATTGCTCCTACAGTAAATGAAAACAAATAGCTATGACCTAAACACCAAGAGTGAAAAGTAGTTATAAAGTTTGAGCACAAGGCAAAAGCTGTTTTGCAATCCCAGGTTTTCTGTGAGTGCAACTGCTGCACTGTTCATGGAATTTATGTGTTGGCAGTCTGCTGCTGTTACTAGGTGCAATACGTTAAATAAAATTATAGCAAATTTTAGTGCTAGAGACACCTGTAAATCTCCTGTAGAGGCCAACCTCTACAAAGCTATATTGCAGGGACCATCTTTTGCAGCAGCTTGACTACTCCAGGTCTCTGTAATTTAAAAAGCATTGGTTATTGCTTTGGTTCCCTATCATTGGGATCTGAAATACAAAAACATGTTTTGGATTTGGGTTTTTTACCTGCCTTGTAGCATTCTCATGGCAGCTTTGGGAATCTTCCTCTGGTGCACAATTCTCTTTATTAGAATGTGAGTTCTCACCCATAGTCATGGGAGAATTCGTAAAGCCCACAGGCCCGTGATTATTATTTGGCCAGGATGCTATCTTTGTGGGTTTTATTCTCCTGGTTGTAGAAGGTGCAACCAAACGCATTGGTGTGCTCGGTGTCTCCATGTTGCCTCGCAGAACGTGTCTGGGCATGCCTAAAATGGAGGTTCTGGGAAATCTAGCATGGTTGGACAGTTAGGAACACGTGATTCTCATGGGGACCAAAACCATTGGTCAGGGGGCACACGTGAACTCAAGGGACCAATCAGAAAACATGGAAAATCTAATATGGTTGGGCAGTTTGGGACACGTGGTTCAGAAGAGGCCCCAATAAGCAGCCATTGGTCGGGGGGGTGGGGTCACATGGACTCAAGGGGCGCTAATGGGAACCCTGGGGTCAGGGGGAGGGGTCAAAACACACCCCAGTCACGTTGTCAGGAAGTCCTGCCTTAGCATTTCCGGGAGAGGGGCACGCCCATCAATTTGACAAGTCATAAATCAATCCATTTTGACAGGTCATAAATCATTCTTTGACAAGCATCAGAAGGTCATAAATCATTTTTTGACAGGAGCTACCACTACATACTACTCCCGGGTGGGTGGGGAAAATAGCTTGTAGCAGAGTCTTGGAGCTTTAGTAAAAAAAACCCAAAAACATTTACTTAACAGAAGCAAAAATAACATAACAAACAAAGCATTGTAGCATTATGGCTGGATACAAATAGGCATAGAAAAATACAAAAGCAAACTCAGCATGAAGAGTAAGTCATACAGCTCTCAGCAAAAGAACCTCCAGCATGGAAAGCATAACAACTCCCAACATCATGGAAAGCTTACAACTCTCAACTTATATGCAAACTACCACAACATTTGTAGTCTCCTGATTGTGTTGTAGCCATCTGGCCTAATTGGCCAATTACCTTGTAGGCTCACAAACACAGGTTCATCTGCCATTTACCACATCTTTATTCAGTCACAATAGTGTAATGCAATCCTGCATACCCTGACATTACTCAGGAATCCTCCCAGCCAGAAACCCCCCAGAAATGGTTGTGCATGTGAATGAAATACATGCGAATATTCATATTAAACCTAGACTTAGACTGCTTTAACAACATGAAACGCTTCATTAATAACTTGGCATATCAAATGGTACTATCTGACATAGTTATGAAATCTAAAAATGTAAAATAATATTTTGTATAAGTAAGAGTATATTAAACAAAAAAAGACAGCTGTTAACTGCTGTACGATATTGTGTCTGTCCTGCTGCCCCTCTGTTACTATACTGCACCTTTTCATTTACAGGCAAAGCCTATCACTGAACACTCAATCTCGCTATTTTAGCACAGGTCTTGTAGTATGAAAAGCCTCTTCTCTTCAGTTCCAGCATTACAGAAGTCACGTGGCAGGATGGGGCCTGATTCGCCTCCTCTCTCTCTGTCCCACTTGCTATTCCAAAGCAAGCTAACTCCATGCTTGTTGGGGATGGAGGTTGTTGTTTTAACTTTGCTGTTTTTGTGTACTTATAGCAATAACAATAAAATAAAATAAACCAAGAGGCACGGAGTTGGCCTGCTTTGGAATAGGGTGGGACAGTGGGAGAGCAGAGAAGAATCAGGCTCCCCCCCCCCCATGGCACTGACTGCTGTAATGCCAAAATTGAAGGGGAGGTTTATCACACCCCAGGATGGAGTTTTCCAAGCAGTGCAGACATGCAAAGATGTGATAAGAAATGTTTTCAAAGTGGCATGTTCCTGTTTCCTTTCATAATGCAGTTGCCGTGGAACATAAGACCAGTGTGATTTTGTCCCTAATTACCAAAATAAAGTAGTTATACTTACATAGTAAAGTGGTAGCATATTTGGAGATGATGTTTAACTCAACATGAAAATATGGAACTCTTCAATAGTATATTATCATTTCAAGCACTGAAAGTGCCCCTATATGCTCCTTTTATGAAGATGGAAGCACCCACTCCATGCAGAATACATCCTGGATTTGGGTGTTGAATATCTACACCAGGGGTCGGCAACCTATGGCCCCCGGGCTGGTTCCGGCCCAGGTCGCCGGAATTACCGGCCCAGGCGGACCCCTGCTGCCGCGGTGTGCGTTTTCCCTCCGTGTGGCCGCGCGTGCTGTGGCCACCATTTTGATATCCAAAATGGCAGCCGCGACGCGTTTGCACATACACAGTGGAAATCAAAATGGCAGCTGTGACATGTGTGGCGGCCGTGTGCTTTGGTGGCGGCAGCATGCGCACCGCCATTCCCCCCCCTTGGCCCGGCGGAGAAGAGGACTTTGGGGGACCGGCCCAAGAATGAAAAAGGTTGCCTACCCCTGATCTACACTGTGCTTGGGAATGAGCATTTTTTAAAAGAAATGATTTCAGCAGTATTTTCCCTCTGTTCCTCGAATTTCTGTTTGCTTGCCTGAAAAAAATCCCTGGGAGGAAAGGGGAAGTTTTTTTGTTGTTCAAACAAAAAAATTACCTCTAGGTGTCTTCCTGAAAAGAGTGAACAATGTATTCTTGGAACAAACCTGTGCAAAGGTCTTAAGCAATACAATTCAGCTAAAGTTAGCTACAGAACAGTCTTTGCAATTTTTTAATTTATTTTT